TCTCTTATACACATCTAGATGTGTATAAGAGACAGCTCTCTCTCTCTCTCTCTCTCATTTGCTTTCTTCCAAAAACTTGGGGAAGCCTACCCTTCCAAGCAGATCTTGAGAGTCTGACCGCATGAATTCTCATGTCTGTGTTGTCATGGCTCTACACGCCTACAGGGTTAACATGTGTGTTTCGTTCGGCCCATCCAGTCCGGAAAATTAGATTGATCGAGTTCAGGATAACACATGGGGAGACCCAAATGGGTCAGGAAACTTAGAAAACACCTTTCAGAGGCAGCTTGTATTCCTTTTTTTGTAGCCTTTGGGATAATTGTTGGAACTTGGTAAGTGTATGGCATGAAGAGAGCCCTGAGGGGTGGCGTTTCCTTAAAACTTTGTTCGAGGGTACAGGGAGGGGGAGAGAGTGTTTGCCAGAACTGCGTTTGAGAGGACATGGGCAGATGGAATGAGCTTGAGGTGATGGCTGTTACCTTCAAAAATATACTTGTACGTTGGATCACAAACAATCACTATCTCTCCAACTTCAACAAGGGAGGCAAAAGTGTGAAAACTGCCATTGGTTCAAAGCACAAGAAAACGCAAATCAAATCTAAGGCAAATTCAACAGACACCAGTCACCTGCTGGAAACACTGTGGGTGGGCCTTCTAAGTTCTAACACATGACTTGCCGTCAGTTGCTGATGAGCTGTGAACTTGCATGGGACAAACATGAATCCCTTATACACAGCACACCAACACCCAACAGTGCCAACACCCAACACCCAACACCCAACACCTGTCACCCATCACCCACAGCCTCATAGCATAACACGTTCCTGTATTTATCACACAATCTTGCCAAACTCACAAGCTTTTTGAACTTTTTCCATATGTTCCCATCTGGCCCATATGTCCAAGATGTTCCATATATTGTCACATTTATATCTTCAAAGTTCAAACTATGTTGATCCATATACTGTCATATGCATTAAACCACCAGGACCTTTCCTCATTTGAAAAACAAATAAACGGCAGCATGCGGCCACATCTTTCGATGGTCCGGGTATCGGACCGAAACGGCTGGCAGCGCCCACTTGCAGCCCTTTAAGGTAAGGATACATCAATAGAAAGACACACTCGAAGGAACGGACAGACACATCTCATTTCCTACTGTAATGTTGTTCGCAGACGACCTGACAGTCTTAATTAGAGCTTCTAGCTTCCTTCCATGCTTTGACAAGGGCCATACTTTGACAAGGGCCATGCTTTGACAAGGGCCATGCAAAACAACAGGGTGGTGGCTAATCACTTCAGACCACCCACCATTGACGGATGATACACAGGGTCTCCAGTGGATAAGCCTCCAGGAACTCGTGAGATTCCAAGGAATCACCACTAGAGCAGAAGCTTGGTTCTGATTTTGTTGAGGTTTGAAGCTGGTTTATTCTCGCTTTTGATTCTTGTGAAAGGGTTTCACCCAACCCAGTGTACAGTACGTTTGTGTTGTTCGTTCACCCCGTGTGCCTTGAACCCACGACCTGTCCCCAAACCCGTGTATAAATGTCTGGTGTGTGAAGCCCGGTCGTGTGGATTTGATCCATAGGTCTGTTGCTTAGAAGTCTTAGGGATTGACCTGTCGAAAGGTCAACCGGCCATACGTCCTCTGAAAGGTCAGTAGGTCGTGGCTAGGTTAGGTCTCGAAGAGTCAACTTGACCTCTCGAAGTCAGTAGAGGCAGCCCATCAAATCTCTGAACGGTCAAGAGTCCCAAGTCAACCCCGAAGGGGCACATGAAAAGGCAGTCCCAGTCCAGTCCGTTTCGCAGCAAGTACCAGAGTGGGACTGCACATCTTGAGGGCCTGGGACATCGGGCAGACCCAGACCACCAAACGAAACAGTATAAATATAGAGGCAGTGATCAGTCATTCACTCATTCTGAGACAAACTATATGGAAGCAGTGCTTGAGTGTCTTGTGCGTGGAGTCACAGGTGTTCAGCAGGAGAGCCCGGGTTGAAGAGAGCAAGCGGCCATAACTGCAAGGAAGAGGAAGACGACGCCGGCCATAGCCGCCCGTGTGTAGAAGATAGAAGATAGAAGATATAGTGTGTGTGACTGCAGACATTCAGGGTAGATCCAAGTGTTGTGTGCGTACGTGCATGTGAGTGTGTCTGATGGTGGATACAGTGTTCGGGTGGGAATTTCAGACTGGCACTCAGACGCCACAGCCGCAAGATGTGACAAGTTGTCTTGAGCCGAGTTCCTGGCCGAAGGCCATATCGCTGAGTTTTCTGCGTGGGCGCACTGCACCATCTCAAGCTTGTTGCTGATTCTGCTTTGAGGAAGTTGTTTTGCCATCGGCATCTGCATTTATGCATAGCGGACATGAAATCGAGACGATTCTGGATGCACTTGGGTTCTTTGTGGTACTGATTGAGCTCGAGAGAGGCGAGGGGCTATGAATTGATAATTTTCAATTCTTCCGGATTGTTGAGCTTCCACTGTGCATATCTCAATCTGTTTTGGTGTGAACTCCCTCTCCAAATCTACTTTGTCACCTTGGCATGTGTACATGAACATGTTGAGGCTCTGCTGGATTGCGTTTCAATCAGCCACATAACACAGGCGTGAGACTCACTAACCGTAGTAGCAGTAGTAGAATGAAAAACAAACACAAAAACAGGAGTAAAGCTTTATTAAAAGTGTTACTCACCTATACAAGCAAAGCGGCTGATCCTGCAGTGGAAGATACTGCTTTGGAATGGTAGCCTAGGTATTTCAGTCAGACAACAGGCAGAAGAGAAGACAAGGAACTACCACTTCAGCGTGTACGTGTACTGAGAAAGTCAAACAATATCTGTGCAAAATAGATACAATCGCTGAAGACTGCCAAAGTAGACAAAATAGTGTTCGGTGTTCACACAAACAGATGAACAGTCCAAGGATCGAAAAATGGGAGAATGATCAATCTCAATGCACAGGTTCGAACAAGATAAGTTTGCAACTTCAGTCTTCAGTACTAAAAGCTCTGCAGCAACCTCAGCAGCACAAGATGAAACATAAATGAACAGTTTTCAGTCTTCTGACAGCCCCATATGCAGTGACATGTACCTGGAGGTTGGCTAGATGCATTCGCATCTAAGTGTGCAGTAACCTATTAACTGTGCGCTATAGTGGGGCTAGATGCATTTCTATCAAGTTGCAGTGGCTGCTAGATGCATTCGTATCTGGTTGCATTTAGCACTCAATAAGGCGAAAATCTCCGACTCAGAACAATGCCTCAGGCTCCCACTATAGCCTAAAGCAGTGCTCTTCCTCCTCCTCCTCCCCTTTACGTATGCCTGCTTCCACTGGATAACATCACTATGGCAACCATCCCCTACAAAGAAAAGTGCCTCCGCCTCCCACCATCGCCTAAACCAGTGCTCCTCCTCGTCCTCCTCTTTGAAACCCGCCTTTCACTAACTGAATCCTCTTGAAAGTGCAATCAGGAATGCTAAAAGCCTAAAACTGAATTCCTTTTTCGGTATGCTGGTCGACAAAAACCATAGGTAAACAGTAAACTGCTGCACTGACATGCAAGTTACTCTGCGGTTTAGGATGTGAAACCAGCAGCATGTTGAACTCTACTGGTTAATCCAGTGGCCTCCTACAGGGACATGAAAAAGCACTGGCTGCAAAGCAACAGGACTGGAGCCTCCCACAACAGAAGGGGCATGTGTATGAGCATGTGAAGGCGGTGGATAACCATGAAAGAAGTGGCCTGCAAAGTGAACTGACAAGCAGGGTGTAAAGACAACCCATCATACCTTCATGCGTGTTCCAACTCCGCCGGAGAGCAAAATGATGGTGACCGAACCGGGTGGCACGTCCCCCTGCCACAACAATGCCCAAATAGACCAGGCTCATCAGCCTTGCTCTCATGGATGGTGAAGATTAAGGGAGGTGGTGATGATAGATGCTCAAAAAAGTGACAACGTTATGGACACAAACTATCCCTGCAAAGGACTGTGGTTATAATTACACCTTGAACAAGTTTCAAAGAGTGACGAAAATGCGCAGGCCGAGCGTACACTTCAACGCCTGCTTTTCTCAGAGAAGGGGTAGACGAAGAAGCCTCTGTGCAGGCCGTGCACTTCAAGGCCTACTTCTCTCACAAGGAAATGCACCCAGAAACATACTTTTCCCTTTGCTGATCAGTAGAGCAAAATCCCACGGTGACACCTTGATCTAACTCTCAAGAAATTGGGAAACGTAGAACAAAAGCTCTATGCCTCCCCATTCTGTCTCAATTTCTCTCAATCTTAAGGTAAAAGAACAACCATGTTGCAGTGAAAGATCATAGTAACATACATTCCCTGGACTTAGTACTTGCTCACTCATGCGCCTTGTGTATGCATGTGACCAGTGAATGAAAGAATAACAAGGTCTTTGCAAGTTCGGCACCAGAGCTTTCACTACTTCAAGCGTCCTACCTCCCTACCATGTTCTCCTGAACATAATGCACATTAATTATGTCCTTTGTGATTCTTTTTTTTTTTTTTTTTCCCAAAACCACTAGTGCTTTTGCCGCTTCAGAAATGAGGGAGTCCCCGAAGAATTCGGAGGCCGGGCCCGACGACGGCTGCCATTGATAAATCTAATGGGGCTGCCGTGTCGTTTCCTTTCGGCCTCCTGAAAGGTCGGAGGCCCGCTATTTTCCGAACTGACAAAGGTACTAGCGGTTTAACAAACAGAACCTTAGGGTCTCTTGCTCCTTTTCCATTCTGGGGAGCATCAGTCCGGTTCCTGTTCCACCGGCAAGTCAGAAAGGATTACAACATGCACTCAAACATGCTCCTCCACCTTATGGTGTGAAGGCCCGAAGGACGGCATTGATTACTTCTCGACGGAAGGATGACCACCATTCACCCCTGCCTAAGTTAGCCCGATCTACTTTGCTTCTGCCCTTGGTTGCTAGTGTGATTACCCTATCGCTTTGGTTCTTGCAGCTTGCCTCCTTGGGCCCCAACCATCCTGTTCCTCGCAACATATCTCGTACCGCCTGTTCAGCGTTCACCTGTACATGATGCACGTATGCCTGCACGACATCCAATCCATAATGATTGATCTTAACCTTTATTCTGTGTACGGTTCCAATTTTAACTGATGTTCCATCGTACTCCTCGCAATAATCCTTAGGCTTCGGAATTTAGGGTTAGGTTCCTGTCTCGTCATTCTATTCTTATGGATTGGATGCCGTGCAGGCATACGCGCATCATGTACAGGTGAACGCTGAACAGGCGGTACGAGATATGTTGTGAGGAATCCTGGACAAGGAAGCGATTTCTGGGATCCTGAAAGATAGGTTGGGGTTGCTACAGCGCTTCATTTAGATTATTTCCTTTCCGTTTTGGTTATCTGCCCAGAATTATCAGCTGGGCCAAAGTTGGCTTCCAAAAGGCAGGGATGAGCAGAGGTATATACTTCCGGAATTCAGGAAGTAACCAATGCTGCAGTCTCAGGGTTCCTCTGCCATTACGGAGGAAAGCGTTAAGTGGGTCGATCATGTCAGGGGTGTCGAACCCGGTTTTCAGCAATAATGAAAAGCTGTATTCTCATTACAAAAAAAGAGTACATGTGTGCTCCACTCCACGTGTAGACGAAGCTGAAAGAATACAGAACAGCCTCTCGGAAAAGCTCAACTTTCTTTCAATTCAACATGAGTTGTAAGTCAACAGGGTTCTACGCCTGGTAGCTCACGCACCATCATCTAGGACTGTCGGTTGCCCAACGACTCACTGCTTGACTGTTATCATGCTGCCCTGCTCTTATGATTTCTATTGTTTTCAATTTCTTTTTGTTTTTTTTTTAATGAAAGGTTGCGAGGGGTGTCAGGGACAGTTTCAGATGAGGAAGTCACACTGGGTTCAGCCTTCTTGACGGCACAGTGGACTCACCCACAGACACAGAGGACACTCAAGGAGAGTAGCGGTTAATGGGAGACCCAAAATTCAGGGGGTTTCGCCGCGCATCACCACAAGCAATGTGGTGGAAAATCTCACGAACAAACAATGCAGGCTCATAATACAAACATGTAAAAAAATAAAAAGAAAAAAACAGGCAGAAAAAAAAAACTAGTGGGAGAGCACTCAACCTCGGCCAAGCGCGTAGCCATGCACACACACAGAGGGGTATCAAGTTATCAACCGAGACCGGTGTTTCCCAATCGCCTGCACCAAGGTGCGCCACGCCCCGATTCAGGTTCTGGGCTTTGCTGAGCTAGCATTAGTTCACTGTACCCCCTTCACCACAGTCACAAACTTCACGTCTCTTCTTTCTTACCATTGTCAGTCAGGAACTGATTCTATGCAGACACACTGGACCACTCCAAAGATGCCACCAACAAAATGAAAGCCAACTATTGGCTAGCGGGAGCCTCCGACCTCTGCCTGCTCAGTAGACTAATACCTTTACAGCCACAATATCAGTGACCACATGAACTTGTCCGGATATCTTGGATCTGTGGTTCTCTTTGCTCCAAAGTTATATGACGATTCCGGCCTGCTTGAGAACAGGTTGGAGTCGTGTTTGCAATAAATCGCAGTTTCCAGTTGGGCTGTACAGTAACTAGTTTGGATTTGGTAGTTTTCTTCGTTTGAGCCCCATGGGGCTTGATCCCTTGACCTGTCCCTTACCGGGACTCCTCTCTGTCCTGGTAACTTCAGGTCCCTTTTGTCCTTTTCTGCTGCTTTCTGAGTAGGCCCGTAGGTTTTGCTTGTTGGCCTGCCCTAGGCTGAGGTCGATGTTGTAGTGCAGAAAAAAGTCAGCAGGGAGGTGGTTCGGGTCTTTTCGTTGCTTGTTCTTTTCACGGTTTTGGTAGAGGTTGCGTTTCTTCCCTGCTGCGCTATTGTGGGCATGTCGTCTTCTCCTCATGCTGCTGGCGGCCATAGCTGGGGCCGGCCAGCTCCATTGGTGACAGTGCTGGGCTCGGCGCCCAAGCGCTGCTGACGCTTCCTCACTTTGGTGGTCTGTTGGGGTTTGGGCAGCTGCCACGAAGCAGCTCTTTGAAGTCTTCTTCGATGTGGCAGGCCTTTATCTTCATTGAGTTGGTGTTCTTCTTCTTCATCCTCGCAGCTGCACTCCCCTGTTGAATGGACACATCATCTGCAGCTGGGCTTCACAAGTGGTGCAGAGTGACATGTTGGATTCAGGAGGGTGTGTGGTGTTTGCACGCTTGTCTGGTTGGGTACTGAAAGTGGAAGTGGCGCCATAGCTCGAACTTGCACAAGCGGTTATCGGGTAGCTGAAAATTCAGGAATGACAATTCTGAAGTGAGAGTTTTGGGCAGTCTGAAACTCCTGAATGGTCCTGAAGTGGTGAAAGGTCCGAAGACCCTGAAAACCACTTGTTTAGGCAGGCTGCATCCTGAAGTGGTGAAGGGTGTCCTGAAGTGGTCAAGTGAGAGTTTTGGGCAGTCTGAAAATCCTGAATGGTCCTGAAGTGGTGAAAGGTCCGAAGACCATGAAAACCACCCTTTACCACTTAAGGATGCAGCCTACCTAAACAGGTGGTTTTCAGGGTCTTTGGAGCTTTCACCACTTCAGGACCATTCAGGATTTTCAGACCTGAATGGTCCTGAAGTGGTGAAAGCTCCGAAGTTCGGCTGCAAAACGATCAGGGTCAGCGGGTATGTAACCCTGCCGCCGTTTCCTGTTGCCTCGGTTTTCAATGCATTGCATCATGCATGACAAGGGCATCTCTTTCCAGCACCACCTCCTACTCTTTGCGCTCACAGCCACAACACACGCACAGAAGGTTGAGCAAATCTCAGGTTCAAAGTGCAAACCATCTGGCTGACAAACCAGCAAATGAACACATTTACAAGCTTGGCCTCCACAGCACAGTGTGACACAGAACATGGGAACGAGCCACATCCGAGATGCCCGAGATTTCAGCATGTGGGCATTAGCTTTCACCCACCGCCCAGAGAAGAGTCTCATGAGCAAACAACACACGTCCACACTGCCGCACTTCTTTGCTAAATTGGTAAAAATGCAGATGTCGATTGACGTGAATTACCTAGTTACCCAAGACTGCTGAGTGCGCACATCGGAGCTGTGGTAGTAGGTTTATCAGCCCCAACAAATCAATTTTCAAACTTCAAATCCTCTTATCACATGTCTCAGTACCCATTTTTCTACAAACAACAAACCAGTGAGAGCCGGTCTTCCATCCCACATCCATTTCAGCATGCCCTCAGTGCCTCTCAAACTGCAATGCTCACCTTCTGCGGGAAGGATGGCAGCACATTCCGTGCCACCATACTCCTGGCGCTCCGCCTTCTACTAATCCCCCCACAGTTGCAACCATCCCAGCCACTTTGTGTGTACAATCCGCTCCCTGTCAAAACACCACAGGTTGGCAGACATCATCAATGCACAGACTTGGTCAATAAACCTCCCCCACTCCACATAAATGCCTCTCCGAACTAATGAATACCCAATCTCACAGGGTATCCAATCAAGTGGCATGAGACCCCCTCTGGACAAGAAGTGTGTCACAGACAGCTGTGAATAAGGCTCACAATCAAGGGGCCATGAGATTCAAGCTCAGGCTATTTCTTCCAAATGTGAGGAGGAACGATGGCCAATCCCTTGAGGAGAAAAAGGTCCCGCAGCCAAATCTTTCACATCCAATCTCAGGCACTCTCATCCTTATCCAAAACGTTGCACAGTGACCGGCCTTTCAAAGTTCAAACCTGATTGTCACACTAACTGTCACACATTTTCTGCAAGCGTGTAAAGCCAGCAGATGCCCCTACACTCGAAAGGCAGACAACAAAGAGAAGAACGACACCTCATTCTCCGATACACTTGCATAGAATATCCAGGAGGCAAGTTTTGCAACAGAAGACATAACAAAGCCCTCTATTTCACCAAAAAGATCCACACAGACAGAGTTGCAGAATCGTATGGCAGTCCCATGTCGACGACGACAGTGAAGGTGGAGAGGAATAAGGGATTAAAGCATGTGATGCAAGGATGTATGGCAATAATAACAATCGTAACGGACAGTCACTTTCTGCTCACCTCGACGCTTACACGACCTGGAAGGAGAAGCTTCTGACAATGTCCGTTCTTGTGACAGCCCATCAAACGTCGTGAAACATCTGGATGGTGATAAGGGGCATGGTCTCGAGCAAGGCGAAGCTGCTGCCGAGCCCTGTGACACATGACCCAAACTGAGCCCTGCTGCCATGGCACGCATGCAGCCTGCCGACACAGCCATTTTCGCTCTCCTCTCCTTCGCCTACCTGGTTTTGATTTTCTGCTTCACAGAATGCAACTGAGTTCAAACCAACACACACAATTAGACAAGGACCTTCCACTGACGTACTCTATCCGCCTCAGCAAACACCCCCCCACACGATGCACAATCCACTCACGTCCAGAAAGACCCAAGCACTTGTTTCCTGACCTCACAGATGTGTAATGTCGCCTCCTGACGAGTTAATGACAGCTATGATGGAAATGTTAACCATACAGAACTTTACAAATTGATTTCGCTCAACTTCCCAGAGCATAGCAAGGGAGGGGAAACGTCAGAAGAAGGAGCTGGAACAGGCAGTTCACATTGTTGAAACCAACCCCAGAAATGACCCAACAAACAGACTCTACTACAACATTCTGCAGTCAGCAAAAGAAGAGCCAGGGGATTGGTAACGGTGGGAGTTAAAGGGCCTTCAGATCAGAGCAAGGTTGAACGACTTGTCCCTCAACGAGTCCATGACTCCATGCCAAATTCTTCTTTGCCAAAATACGAGCCAATGTCAGGAACAACATGGTAGAAGGCTTGCACGACGCAGCAGACCAGTATACAGTTAGAACCCAAGGACCGGAGATACCATCCTCACCCGAAAATAGTGCTCGGGGCCCGCGCATTGTATACAAATATAATGCCCATGCGAGACCTATATGAATTTTATAATGTCCGGGCGTTGCATTCAGTAAATTGGTAGCAACTTTGGTAAGACCCCAATTTTTATTTAATATTATATTATTATATAGATATCTGAGTGGGGATCCGGGCCGTCCGGGTGACCGCCAGGGGCCCGGGGGAGGTCCCAGGCGGCCTGGCCGGGCAGGGCACCCAGTTGGGGGCCGGCCCCCCCCAGCGCACTCACCTGTCGGGGGATTTCGGATCCCCTTTCGGACCCCCTCTGTGTGTGTGTGTGTGTGTGTGTGTGTGTGTGTGTGTGTGTGTGACAGAGAGAGAGAGAGAGAGAGAGAGGTATGTGTTCGAATCATACTTGCCGCGTATCTCATGCGCAGTGTGCCGCACGCACGCACAAGTGATGCGGCGCATTAAAAAAATAGAAAAACAAAAATGTCCTAGTTGTGTCCAGCCTCTTTTCGGAAGGATCCCTACAGCATATTAGCTAGGACCCGACGTCATGCACAGATAGACTTTGAACTTGTACTCCCTGAGGGTGGGCAGAGAATATATAGTCTGGATTCGAATTCAGGTCTGTGCATGTCGGTTATGAGTCACCATTTCTCTGTTTTCTCGCTTTTCTTTTCTTTTCTCGTTTTTCTTTTCTTAGGAATACGTGCAGTGGCCCTAAGGGCCTT